GCCTGCGGCCACGCTTCAGCCAGAGGCCTTTCCAGTGGCCAAAGCTGAAAAAAAAGAAAGGCAACAAAACAACATTGGTCTGTTGCTCATATATAAAGGCGGGGCGACCACGCTCACACAGCGATTCGGCAACGCTTCCTTAATAATCCCTTGCAAGTCGATGATATAAAAGCTGCGCACAGTGCTTCAGGCAGCACGCCAGGTGCCTCACGCGGTCGGCCCTGATATGTGTGCCTAACGAGGCTAATGTTGGGGTTTGGAAGGATGCAGGAGGCGTGGATGCCTCCCACACCGTGGTAACAACCAGGCAACAGGAAACGGCCACAAACTTTTACCGGCTCATGTTGGACGGAACAAGGGGGGTATCCTAAAGGCCTGCCGAGGCCATGGTTCCGAGGCGGGGCTGGGGGTAAAGCACGGGACCTTGGAGCAGTTAGCAGGGGAAGTGGCGATAAGCAGCTAGGAGGATGGTTTTCCAAGAAAACCAACAGGGCCTAAGCATTCACCACTAATCATGTCCAAAAAGCGTAGGCTCGGTAAGGGAGGGGAATGGCGGCGTTCCGTGGGACTATCATAAAAATAAAAATGTTTATCTACGTTTGTGTTGTTGATTATCATGATTTTATATGCATACGATAGATAGATAGATAGATAGATGATAGATAGGATTTAGATATGATAGATAGATTAGATAGATAGATTAGTAGATTAGATAGGCAGGACGATCAGGGACTAGGGACAGACAGGACAGACAGACATAGATAGATGTTTTATTAATGAAATTGTGGTCGTCACTAGCAGCCCAGGCACTTTTCCTTTAAAAAAATTAACAGATAAATACAATAGAATAAATAACAAGCATAATTGAGGTAAACATACTTAGGTAGGGAAAAGAATAAATAAAGGAGCTAATATTGTGGAACGGTCAAGGTTAGCAAAGAAGGTTGCTAGTTTTTTAGTTGCCCACGATATGTGTTAATAGCTACTGATGGACAGTTGAGATGGTTAGTGTTATTGGTAAACAGTATATAATCAATACACAAGTATATATATAATAAGATTGTAGGTTGTTTGGGAGGGTTACTTAAAATACAGCTTGCCTCAAATATAATGTGGGCGAGTTGGGGGAGGAATTATTAGGATGTGAGTTTATTACATGTTCAGCTGGACGGTGTTGGTCATGATGATGAATTTCATTTCATGATTTGTATTTATACAAAGATTACAGGGATAGGACTTAGATGATAGATGTAAGATTAGATTAGATGATTAGATAGATAGATTAGGATAGGATAGATAGATAGATAGGGCAGGACAGAAACGCAGACAAAGAATTAGGACAGACAGACAGAAGATAGATTTAGATTAGGATAGGGACAGGACAGCAGGACAGAGGACAGCGACAGGATTAGGAATTAAGATGGACCAGCAGACGACATAATTTGTACTGTTAGCATTTATTAAGATTCATAGACCAACATGTGTTGTCTAATATTTCTGTGTTCTTGTGTGCTAGGTTCGTTTTTGACTTGCTTTTGGTGCCTGCTGTCATTGTCTTATGGGACAGGACATCTTGAAAAGAAGAGATTTTTAACTTTCCGTGGGTGTCTAAATAAAGGGTATACAGATCATAATAAATATACATGGGTTAGCGGTTGGACAATACCAGGTGGGAGGGGTTACGTAATCCAATAACATGTTACTAATACTCCTAGAAATGTGTGGTAGTCAGCAACCTATCCAAGCTGCTTACACAATAATGTAGGGGAAGATATAGGTAGTTAGTAACCTAAATACGTATCACGCATTAACAGTAACATTTGATGTACTTTCCATTACCAAAATAAATATGCAAATAAAATTAAAGGGAGAAAAGGATCATCATAAGGATGCTATTGATGCGCGTGTTTGTTTATAAAACAAATCACGAATAATGTAACCTTTAAAAAGGAACAAGAAAATTAACAACAAATTAAATGATTTTAGTAAAGAAAAACATTTTAAAAATGTAATTACCTGCTTAAATAATTCGCATTTCTACTATTTATAACTTTTTCTTCACACTTATAAAGGATTACAGTTGGCCTTTTGCTTATCCTGATATACGTTAACTCACTGTTAGATGGTAATCCCATTACTCCCAAGGCCTGCGTCCCTCTCACCTTGTACCAATACAAATCAAAGAGCGCATAACTCAAATAACTGGGGATTTAGTTTTATATTTTACATAACTCACGTCTTGAGAACAATGTCACAATTTTACCATTTTCTATCAAATATTTTGAGGGCAACTGGGGCCTGTATTATCGTGGCTAACCATTTAACCCTTATGGGGGAGTAGATGTAAGATTACATGTTAACTGAAGTTACATAATCAAGCGATACAAAGAGGCGACGGAAAAAATTGACTAAATCGGATTAGATTTAGGTTTTATCTTTCAAGGCCACATTGTTCTGTTGTCATCGCAGGTGCTTCTATGGATTATCTTTTCTTTTATATTTGTATATTTGGGTGGTTGACGTGAATTCAAAAGTAACGGGTAAGTAATCAAGTTGCTCTAGTTACTCTAATATTGTGATACTTGGATTAGGTTGCTGACTACATTTTCTAGCAGGTAATTAGTAACTGTATGGGATTACGTAACCCTCCCCACCCTGGTCATCATTCTAGAGTCAGTGCTAACGTTATATAACCACATCCTAATCATTTCTCACAATTTTGCATTAATATTTTGAGGGCAAGCTGCACATTTCCTGTAACTTATATTTACTAAATTTAGCTAACTTGGATGAGTCCGGTGTCCCCTTTCAAAATAAAAGCAATGTACACTGAGTATAAATTGCCACATTCAGTGGAAATCATCTCTTTTTACACAGAAATAGTTAATAAAACTATTTTTTTAAAGGCAGCTGCACTAAAAAAACATCTCTTTATTTAATCCCTAAAGACTATAAGGACGATATAAAAAAATGCTGCTAATTAAAGAGAAACTGAAAATATAAAGAGACTTGGATATGAATGCAATGTTGTATTCTGTTCCGACTTTGACACAAACTGTCACATGAGTGGAAAAAGAAATTGGTTTTGACATATTTAACATCACAGAGAGTGAGTGAGGAAAACAAAATTCCCCTTCTGAACTGACTTCAAGTCCTCACACAGATGTATACATTTCATACGCTGTAGTCAGTGGAGCATGGCAGACAGCGGGGAGGAGATAGTTCAGCCTCGACTTTCTGTACTTAACTAAGAAAATGAGAAACAGTCATGCAAATAGAAGAATGACTATTCATGTAGTCGTATCTCGCCATCCTCTGTCATCATCCATTTTGTGAGACTCTCAGCCCACTTTGATCCAGTCATCAGCTGTCGTCTGAGGAGGTAAGATGCATTAAGTTAACCCTAAATATCCAAATTATTCATCAGCTCTGAGGTAAAAATCATTGTATTGTTATTTAAAGAGAGTCGAAATAAAAGAGAAAACTAGTTTAAAAGGCAAACTTAGTCCAATAAAGGCTGCTTGAAGATTAATAATTTGCCTTTTTCTTGCTGTCTTTTTCTTGAAGGCTGGCAGGAAACTGTCTAAAAGAGAGGATACAGTATGCGGCATAAAGATAATAAGAATTTATATCTGTCCGTACAGATAAGGGAACATAAAAATACGTCTTTTTGGTTGGCACTTCACTTGAAAACCGCCTTTCAAGTTCAAGTACAGCTGAGTGACTAAAAGCTATATCACATTTTTGTAATCGCTGCCAGTGCAGAAGGTACACAGGAAAAAAAAAAGTCCCTCGAGGCTTGTTTTATTCTCAGAAGGCTAAAGTAATTACCAAAATAACCTTAAGACTTAGTCAACACGCAGAAAGGGGAAGTGGTTAATGGTCTTCTTTCCGATCCACAGTTCTGTATACTGAAAAGCAGCTCAGATGTTTTCCTTGTTTTGAAGTGTGAGTTTTTTTGACAGCTTTAATGTAATTTTTTTTCTATCTTTCCTTCTCTCTTTGTCTTTAATTCTTCTGTGTTGTCGAGCAGGATGTCCGAGAATATTTGGCGCAAATTCTTCTGGGTGTGGGTGTTAGCTGGGATTGTTTTTGCGAGTTTGGTGATCTGCCTCATCTTCCTTCTTATCAACATGTGCATATCCAGATCAGGTAGGTTGGATCTCTGCTCAACACATTTATCAGAAGCTGCTGGAGGACAGAAATGTTTGCCTCTTGTTTGCGGCTCCTTCACACTTATGCTTTTTCTTTTATAATGACAGAAATGCAGCTAATACAACCTGATGAAGTTGCGAAACATAATGTGATGAATGTTTAACATAGCGCTTTTGCATAACTTTTTACCTGCTTAGCAAATAAAATGTACATAAAATGTTAAATAGGCCTTTAATGTTTCTTAAAAAATGGAATAGAGATCTCTAAAATCCTGGTCCGGTCCTCACGGGTGGAGCCAGACTCTGTAAACATTCAGGTCTTAGCTCAATCCTCGGTGGTCTGAGGGAGTATTTATGGGAGCTCTGATTATCCTTACCTCTTCCACTCCACACTGTCTTTAAGTGGCTGTAGCAGGCTCCATTTTTAAAGCTAGAGTGTTGGTATCATATGAAACTAGATGACCTAACGTATCCTTTGCTATCAACCGGGTCATGCTATCACATCAGGAAGGGTGCTAAATAACGCTGCAAAGTTAGGCTAAACTTTATCACATCTGACAAAAAGGGATCCCTTGACCTCTGACCTCAAGATATCTGAATGAAAATGAGTTCTATGGTTACCCACAAGTCTCCCCTTTGCAGATATTCCCACTTTTATGCTAATCCCATGTAGTTTGGGGCATGCAGCTTTTTCCATGTGTGTTATTTTCACCTCCTGTATTTGAATATTTCTACATAAACAGTGTTGGAATTGTATAAATTGGGAATGGCTGGAAAGCTGAGACACATACTTCAATGCCACCCCAGTCAAAAAAGTCTAGACACGCCTCTGGCTATATGCACTGTTTTTAAAGCCAGTTGAGAAAATATAAAAACCTTAAAATCTGCACATCATTTGGGGAAAAACATGATAGTTTTCCTGGAAAAAAGCTGTCTAACTGAAACCAGAACACAACTAATGTTGAGGATGTTTCATTTTCACTCCTACTACCCAAAAAGAAGCAAAAATGATCTGATGTTATTATAGTTATATAAGTTATATAACCGGTCCAGTCAGAGAGATTAAGAGGAAGTTAACATAAAGTTGAAGTTATTTTAAAAACCTAGAAGATTCGGGGCTTTTGAGAAACCACAAACCCGGGTTAGCAGTCAGTAATGTAATGTAATGTCTCTGCATTAGATCAGAAATGTTTATTAATTAAAGCTGCAGCAGGTAATTTTTCTAAAAATATTTTTTGGTCATATTTGGTGAAACTTTCACTATATCCTGACAGTAGAACACGAGACAAATAATCTGTGAAAAAATCACCTTCCTCTGGCTCGTCCTTGTGCCCCGAAGGGCATTTGCAAGAATCCATCGGGCCCCGAATGAAAACAACCAATCAGAGCGAGGATTTTTATTTTGTTAGCACCCATTGATTTCTGGGATTCACCAGTGTTTTCTTATTTTCACTCTTACAGAGATATAAAAACTAAACATTTAGTTTTAATAGTCCACAAAATTGTTCGTCCAATGCAAGAAAACATTTAAATTATAGAAATAAAACCGACCTGACTTCCTGAAAATCCACAGACCTATTTGCTGTGAACAGTCTGTATTGTGGAACTATGACTTTGATAAGCAGTACACACCCTGCTGTTCGTGGTGTAAAGTCACACATTTTGAAGATGTGACTCGACAAAATCAAAATGAAAGACACTTTAACTTGCGACCTGACTTGACCTTGTGTGTAAGACTTCCTTATACCACAAATTATCTTTCTGATAATTTTGTTAATGTGATTAGCACGTATAAATAGTGCTTATATAGCGTCTTTCTAGTCTTCTGATCACTCAAAGCAAGGTCCCATCAGAACATACACATCTCCATTATATGCTAATATTATAAAAACTACCACTGCTATTATTCTGTTACCTTTTGTACCAGCAGTAGAAACAGTACTAACTAGTACTACTTTTAATAGTTATAGAAAGCAATCAGAGAGTGTATCTAGGACATATTATACATACAAACTGTAAGCTTTTCATACAAAGTCTATTCCCAGCAAATCATAATATTACTAATATTAGTAATATTAATCAACACTTTTATTTATTTATGTTTGTTTTGACTGTTTTATTTGCGTCTTGTATTCTTGTGTGTCTGCATAGAGATTTTTATACATAAGCACTGCTGTGTGTGTGTGTGTGTGTGTGTGTGTGTGTGTGTGTGTGTTGGCATTTATCACATTCTGGGGA